ATAATGATAAAGAAACATACTTAAAAGAAGAAGAAATATGATAATAAAAGTAAAGTAATACCAAACGTTAAATGGCGAGTTGACGGCCAAGATCTAAAGCTACAGCCTGGCAATGTGTTTCACATACTTGTGACAGCAGCGAAAGGTGAGCAAGACAATTAAGCGAAGGATTGGGATTGATAGACACATTCTCTAAATTAAAATGAAACCACCATTTTAGTCAATAACAAATCAATCAGTTTACGACAAGTGAGTTGTCACATGTGTAAGACTAACGCCGAATTATGATTCCGAGACGTGGCGTGGCGTGGGAAATAAGCATAGCTGTCACGGTGGAGAAGAACGTTAAACGTGTAATTATGTAGAAGTACGATAATGAGTTGACAGAAGTACAATGATGAGATTCTGTGCATGGCTGGTAAATCCACAAGGATTCTATTTAGTTTGAAAGGAACCAAAGTATGCTATAAATTGCGGGCGTATCTTCAGGTATGGCCCAAATAATTTGTTACAAAGTAAAAGTGAATAGGGTAAAGAGAAAGGGGGTCTGGCCGGGGACCCTTTAAGTTGGTTGGATATCAGCAAGGATTGGACAGGAAACAATTATGAAATCATGTCAGCCAATAAGAATGAAGATGATATACGTACATGATGATGATGATATATTTATATTATTATGTTGATAAGAAACTTGAATGAAATGAAGAATTGAAAACATTATCGGTCAGCATCATGTGCCACGTCACAATGTGTTAATTGTTTAAAAATAGAATAAGTAATATGAATACATCGTACGGGGTATGTATATATCACTGCTTGGTTGTCCAATTGCTTCATCTATATAATCAATTATAGTTTTTGGTTTTGACAACGTGTATCTAATGAGCACCACAAAAGCTATAAATGTCGCGGCTTATTGTCTTTGCTCTAATAACGACTTTTATGTTTTGCAAGATGAATTCCCCTGGCGCCACACAGTATTAAGATACTACACCACTAGTGTATTTCCAGACTAGTGCGCACATGTTAGCGCACATGGCAACTGCAAAATTTATTCAAAAAATATCTGTCTATATTTAATATGTTATTATTTTTTATAGACTTTTCGTAAAATATTAATGCCTACATGTAACTACACTGTGTTTGTTTAATTGTCTCAGAATTTAAAGCGGGGGAGTCGCTACCCACGCATGCGTCAGATGGCCAAGGCGTGTCATTGTTTACAAACAAGCGTCTACTCATGAGCCTTTTCGGTTTTAGCGTACTGTAAAATACATTATTTTCGCTAGAATTAATTTTCGCTGAAAGGACTTTTTGGGTGTTTTGTGTGGAGTTTATTTCACTGATTATTGACAAGTTGAATGTAAAATATAGGTAAAAAAGGATATTCACTGGATTTTATTTTCACTGATTCATTCCTTAAGCGAATACAAAATGTATAGCGAAAATCAATTCCAAACGAAAATAAAACGTATTTCACAGTATGTTGTTATGGTCGCTTGGGACTCAATTCCCGCGCGTGCGCAGGTGACACCCCCCTCGCTTTAACAGTAATCGTATCAACAGTGAGCGAATATTTTTGATAAAGACTGCACGTACCTGTTCATTACTTGTAAAATATGGAGTTTCTAACACATCTCTTCATGTCACTAAGTACTGATAAAATGGATCACCCTACGTTATCGAGCAAATTTTATAGAAGGGAATTATTATAATGCCATAATGGCGACGAAACACGCTTTTTTAATTTCTTCTTATATTGTACATCGAGTTTCTCGGATATTTGTACGGTGACCCCAGGTTAACCTCAAATTTTCTTTTCATATAACTTTCGGCACGATATGTCTATACTAAATTATGTGAAAAAATAAATAAAATGACTCATTAATCGTATACCTCGTTTCCGTGAGCTCATCAGTTCGTCAGGCTGTTCTCATTAAAACACAACCCGGCTATTAAAGCCGGCTTATCGGTTTTAATAAGTCAGCGTTTTGAGTGTTTTCGTGTCCCATACACTCAAACTTTTATCGGGGTTTGTGGACGGTATACATTAAAGAGATGTGAGCTGACGTCGGTATCAAGCTTGCATAATAAGATAATTTGCATAACGACACCCGCATAAAATATATCACTTATTATTAATTCACAAATAATGCAAAGTTTTAGATATATTTTCTTAATTATGGATACTACATTTCGTTATAATTGTGCTATTACTGTTTATGTCAACATAGGGGGTCGTATCCTTTAGAATAAATCACACCACTTTAAGACATATCCAGTTATACATATACTCAGAAAGAGTGGTACGGCACCTTATTATAAATGTCTGCGCTTCATGGAATGGGCTCACAAACATAATTTTGGTCAAAAACGATTAAAAATAAATTAACACTTTCTTATCCGATTTTGTGTGATTGTAAACTGTGAGCCGACTTCTCAGTGTAGAGTGAGTATTTGGTCACCAAATCCGATAGGAGAATAACGCATTGGAGAGGAGCATTTGTAACTAAGATGTTATTCAACTCATAACTTCTAGACCAGGAACTGAGTTCAAGTCCCCGCGAGATGATCCATACAATGTATCAACATCATTATGCAAATGACTAAACTTACGTCAGAGCCTCAAATCATCACAGTGATAATTTTCAAGATGATAAAAACAGCGCCGGGTTAAGTTTGCATCAGCAGTCATTAACAGCAGCAACAAACTGATATAAATGTAACCTTTATGTATATTTTTCGTTTTATTCTAATGTTTGGTTTAAAATGTCAAAAATATGCATCGTTCTGAAGAGAACATATTAAACGATAGTGTTTAAAATGTCAAAACAATCGGAAAATAAATATTCTCTAAACTACACATAATTACCTATTTCGTGTCCGTTTACTACTATTTATTTCAATCTGTTGTGTACACAATCCTCATCAGATGGATATTTATTTCCAACCTTTGGTAGTTATGTAAAACACATACAGTTATGTATATAAACGACAACAATTAAAGTGCGAGGGTCGTCACCTGCGCACGCGCGGGAATTGAGTACCAAGGGACGATAACAACACACGCTAAAAGCGCGAAGGCTCATGGGTAGACGCTTGTTTGTAAACAATGACACGCTATGGCCATCTGACGCATGCACATGTGACGACTCCCCCGCTTTAACATATTTTCCACCTGTGTTTGAGTGTGTTCCGCTGAAAATAATAACATGGATGTGTAAAAGTGAATAAAATAACTTTTAATCTTAAAATGCCTAAAAACGTGTATTTCATGTTTAATCATATTTGTAATGTATTGTTTAAAACTCGAGCGTCACAGTCGTCACGCGGCGCGCCATTAAATGTGATGTAAACAATGTATTTCTACACACGTTATACATGTCGCATGGAACCCATGTCGCACAGTGACTACGGATATTCACTTGGGAGCTAAAGTACGACGCACTCATTTATTATGCGATAACAAAGGCAAGGAAGAAATGTGCCAACAATGGGCGAGACACACGTTAACTACTAATATACTAATAGAACTGAGATACAGTAAATATTAACTGAAAGCGTCTACTGTGACGCACTTACCACACTGTCGATTTCTTTTTTTCTCAAGCTATCACTGCACGTTACAATTTTGAGACAATTCGGGGTTATTTGATTGGAATACGAAGATTGGAAGAACTTCCCATTATAGCCTGATAACAGGGCTCGAGTAGGTAGTTCGTCCTCTTTTATCATCTAAATAAGGAATAATTTGTATGTACACGTTGCACGTGGGAGGGGGGAGGCAAAAATTTATCATCGGCTATTACCACATACTATAGATTATCTTGTTCATATTCAGATCGAAAAATAACCGTAGATGGGCCATGATATTGAAATTCCGTCGACACAAGGCATGTCAATTTTGGTTTACGTAACAATTATGATCATAGTGTATATTCTTACAGCGAAATGACCTTAACAAGTCGGTCAAAACCGTCATTGAACCATGTCATTTTACTTCCTACTTATAATGACTCTTTTTTTTTTTTATTTCCATCATCCAGTGATTATAAAATATGACATCCGGCATTAGGGGTGGACCACTATTTCTGATGGGGTGGCTAGGCTAGAAACAGAACAAAATAATATAAAGATGGGAAAATGCGAACTTATATTTAACAAGACGCATGGAGACTCAGTATGTGTGCTTATACGACCATTTAGGAATCGACTACGTGTATTTGAAATAATGGAGGGTGTGGATTTGTTAAAAGAAAATAGCAAGCTAAACACCGAGAGAGGGAGAAATATAGATACGACACCTTGAAAAAAATGTATTTGTCACCCCTTTCAGCCACCCCATGATTTGAAATGGTTGACCCCGTACTCAAGTTAGAGTGAAACAATTAAGTCTTCCCGATACTGTAAACCGAACCGAATCCGCTCACGGCGTATTACGTCATGGTCAACTCGGTGAAATATACAAGTGTTGACTACGAGGCAAACACGCATCGTTTAAATACTAGTAATTGACAGCTCTCAGAGAAGCCGTTTCTGATTATCAAACGCCCACACTTTTCTTTCAACCACGAAAAATATGTCGGAAATAATATGTTCAAGCGTGAAAGTAAATGAGGGGATTTTTTTTTTCAGCCATGCTTTGAGAGCAAAAAAGAACTCGATTCAATTTACCCCGAATATAATGTAAACTGAGATCAAATCAGTCAAGGAAGCCACTGACTCCGAGTCGATTATGGTGACGTAATGGAACACCCAATTTATCGTTCCATTTCGATGACACTTTTGACTTTAAAAAAAATAGCTTCATCTCATTTCGCAGCTTAATGCGACAATCTTTACAAAACTAATGTGAACTTTAGACAACGTTAATGGTATAGATCTCCTGTCTAAAGAAGCGCTTGCGGGTGAATTACCCAATATGCATTGCGCGTTCCGTTGAGCAGTGAGTGGCAAGCTCGCCGCTATCAGGCCACATAGTACTAACTCATTTCCCATCACGAGAACCACCCCGAGAGCATTGTACAATTTCACGGCTTCATCGCCTCAACGATACGTTCTCTGACAATTCACGCTTCACACGCCATACATACTGCTGACGGGTGTTCGGAGTTCGCTGAGAAACCTTTACCGAATGACGATATTACTTAGAGTGGATACCAATTAGTAAATCGGATAGTATATTTTCTGTTCATTTGGCGCTAAATCGTTTTCGTGAGGTGGGTACATAGTTTAATGTTGATTTCAATTTTCTCGTTAATTAGTACACCGTCATTTACTTCACATATATGTTATCAGGTGGAAACACGTCATTTATATTACACATGAGTGATAACTATCTAAAGAATATCTACATAGACATGTGCGGGGAATGTCTTAGTGAAATCAAAAGCAGTAGAAAGATATGGGCACCGAGGCGGAGCCGAAAAACGATCCAAATATCCGCGTGTGGGTTATAGTATGTTATCGCTGATCCGTTATAATAATATTTACCTCTCATGTGAACATACCCGGAAAAAAACCGAGCCTGCTTCCTGAATTGTAGGAGTTGTGGAGTTGTTGATTGCCCTAATAGGCGGCGATGTACACACGGTTGTTCCCGCATCGCGCAAATCCTAAATGAAACTAAATGCACCGGTCGTTTACATCTACGTAATGACGTGTAGAATTCACCTCGATGCTTGGAAATCCACATTAAATTAATGTTTTACCGGCTTCATCGTCGCCATGGTAACAACTTAAATCACCTCAACTAAGTCCCCTCACAATACTCGTCTACGAAACTAGTTTGATGAATTTCGAGTGTCATCTTTATTCGCAGTGGTAATGTGTATATTTAGTATCGTGGTAAACAAGTAAAATACGGCGTTCCATCTATCTCAAGCTTTAAAGGAAGGTTAGATAATTGGCGAGCCGAATTTGATGATCACAATTACATTCGCCATATCAGAAAATAAATCTTTGTCTAAACGGTGGGCAATAGTTCCTCTAAAAACATTTAGGATTGGCCATTTTTACCGTCTTGGAGTAATCTTTTCACGAACACATGCATCCAAGACATTTTTTTCAATATAACGGTATATGTATATATATCCTCAGACTACTATAGAAGTCTGAGGTATTTCCGTACCACGTTTTAAAAAACTAACGATTACTGAATTTTTAATATAAATATTAAATAGCAATCAACCTATCTATTTAGTTAAAATTTAATAATGTTGCTTACCATTTAAAGATTCCTTTATTGGTCTAGTGAGTAAAATATTGCTGACTTAGGAGTTGGAATCTTTTTTTGCGGTTTCAGGATATGTTTTATATGCTACATACTTGGTCTTGGTGTAAAATAAATAGGCAGATTTTGATCATTGAACGCAGCGGAGCCGTGAAATTAGTAAGAATCACCTGACATCGACTCGATTAAGTAAAACCATATCTTTTCAGCGAGCACTCCAATTCCCTGCCAAGATTGGCAAGTAGAAGTATACACGCAAAATTAGAATGAACTTTAAGTAGCGAAAAGCACAAGTAACATTACTCTGAGAGATGACAGCATTTTTAATGGATTTTTTTTCCTCGGTGTTATTTAATGGCATAGCGATATCTTGTTAATGGGTTTTGTCATTACAGTAACCATCATGTTTTACCATTTGATATACGTGAATATATTACGTTAGACGTTTTTACGGTTTTGTAACGCCGTATGGGTAAACATCGACATAGAAATGTGAAAAAGATAGCATTCTATCGAGAAATAATGTTAGTTTTCATAATATATTTAATAATAACCAGATACGCAGGAAAAACCACAAGTGGGCGATGGACGGCTCTTACTTGATGCGTAAAATAATAATTGGTGATTATTAGTTTTTTTCATCTATAAATTTACGTTTTATTGTAGCTTCATGTATGAATAATTTAAATATATAGTGTTTTCTAGGGCTCAGTTACCGGATGTCCACTCATACCGGCGTTGTGTAACTACTGGAAACTGGAGAATTTACAAATTTCTTACAACGTCATTTTGCAATCTAGCGTAATGAAATGACATGGCATGTGGGCTAATCACCTGATCTAGGCGAGCTTAAGAGTACATATATTGACAGGCTAGGAGGTTAACAAGTACATATATTGAATGGTTCGGGGGATAAAACAAATGCATTTTAACATGGCTGGGGGAGTTGAATGTACACGTAATGACTGCATTGGCCGATGGCTAACACGTACATGTATTGAATGCCTAGTAGACCCGATACGTACACGTAATGACTGACTAGGGGAGCTAGTACGTACATGTATTGAATGCTTAAGGGGCCTGATACGTACACGTAATGACTGACTAGAGGAGCTAGTACGTACATGTATTGAATGTCTAGAACAGCTAATACGTACACATAATGACTGACTATGGGAGCTAATACTTACATGTATTGAATGTCTAGGAGAGCTGATACGTAGACGTAATGACTGACTATGGGAGCTAATACTTACATGTATTGAATGTCTAGGAGAGCTGATACGTAGACGTAATGACTGACTATGGGAGCTAATACTTACATGTATTGAATGTCTAGGAGAGCTGATACGTACACGCAATGACTGACTATGGGAGCTAATACTTACATGTATTGAATGTTTAGGAGAGCTGATACGTAGACGTAATGACCGATTAGGGAAGCTATTACGTACATGTTTTGAATGCTTAGGGGAGCTAATACGTACACGTAATGACTGACAAGAGGAGCTAGTACGTACATGTATTGAATACA